GGGACTCCTCCACAGCCCAAGGCAGGGGATCTGGACCTCTCCCACCTCCCTTAAAATTCCAGACCCTGCTGCTAAACTCCCCCCATTGCCTTGGGACCCATACTCCATCTCCTCCCGTCGCCCACTCTCGGAAGCACGCTCTGAGTCTAAGAGAGAGGGGAGGTACTGGACCAGCACAGAAAACCCCACCTCTACTGAACCCAGATGTAGACTTCATAGCTCCAAGGGAATTGTGACAACATAGTGGGAAAAATCTTCTATCAGCATGGACGGTGGCATGCTTGAATTCCAAAGGTGGCACTGTACCTCCTTCCCCAAGTTCTTCCAGAAGAAGGACCATCAACCAGTCTAGAAAGACTTTGGTGCTGGGAAAGAGGGCCCTGGACCCATCATCCTCTGGAAGGCCCCAGTTCCCCGCCCCTTCAACCCAGGCAAGGGGCCTTCCTCTTGCTCCCCCACTGAAAAGCTCCACAGAAGTCATCTTTAAACTCTTTTTAGCCACAGGACCCTGTCTTCAAATGAGACACATCGTAGACACCCAGTATATAAAACTGCTAAAAGCAAGGCTGCCCTGGGTGTAGCAAGGGTGGGGCCGGAGCCCACCCTCCTCTGCCAGCTGCCGAAGCTCCCGTGGGCTCTGCTAGGTCTGTGTCTTGTATTCCAGGGTTTGCCTCTGCCATCACCCCTGGACCATGAAGGATGCAATTTGCCCTTCTGGAATAAGGACATTATTTCTTCCTCCTCACTCCCTCCCCTGGCCCACAGTCTGTGCCTTTTAGAGTGGAGGGGACATCCCAGCTGGGGACAGGGAGATGGGGAGGGAAGCCGGATGAAGAGATACATTCTGGGACTGTCTACATCCCACCAAGACACGGCTAACACTGAGTGCCCTGGTCTCATTCAGCTCAACAAATTCTTACTGGGCCCCTATAAAGACTAGCCCAGCCCCCTCTTCCTCAGAGCTCCCAAGTCCTGGAACCCCAAGGCCATGAGGGGCCTCTCTCCAGCCAGAAGGAGCTCTGGGGTTCTACCCCAGCCTTCCTGCCTGCTCTGCCTCCTCTGGGAAAAGATGGTGGCGCCTGGGCAGGGCTGGGCTGGAGGACGTCTCTGTTCCCCAGAGCAGGGGTGGGAGGAGGGTCTGGAAGGTGCTCGCACACCCTCCTCCTGCGCAGAAGGTGAGCAGCCAGAGTCCCCAGCCCTCGGGTTCTGAGGGGAAGCTCCTGTGAGCCGTCCTCACGAAGGCCGCCCCCAGTAGGGTCCCCTTCACGCGCCGTCTCACCCCAACTCAGACGCTAAAAATGGTTCTCTGGTTTTCAGCCTCGGCGCCTGCCCATAAATTAGTGTCTCCAACACTGCCTCTTGGGACGTGACTTCAGGGAGGCCCCTCGGGGAGCAGGAGGCCTCAGTGAAGGGAGACCGTGCTGGCAGAGCCCCTTTCTAAGGAGACAAGAGTGGGCAAGGCCCCCCTCCCAGCTCTGGGGCCCCCCACCAAGGCCACCCAGCCTCAGTGTGGCAGCTCTGCTCTCCTTGCCATGGCAAAGAAAAGACATTATTTCCACCCCACTGGGGCAGCTCCCCTCACCTCCGCCACCCATGCAGTCAGCTTTGCCCAGCCACCGTCCTGGGCACTGCCCTGCTGGAGGAGAAAGTGGCAAGAGGAAAAGAGGCGGCCAACCCCATGTCCCTGCCGCTCGGCGTCCGGAACCGCCTTGCCAAGCCCGGGCTCCCACAGCGCACCTCCAGCACAGGGGCCAGCTGGGAAACCAACAAGGGACACCTGGGCTCGCTACTTGCCTGATGCTGAGTTCCAGCCTCTCTCCCCTCCCCAGTCCCGCAGCAGTGGACTCAGAAAGGGAAGAAGCCTCCCGAGGGGGGATGCCCACGCCCCGGGGCGCCAACCCGGCAGGTGCCCTAGACCGAGGCAGGGACGGGGCGCCCAGCGCCGCCGGCGCAGCGGGAGCGGGGGAGGGACGCGCAGGGCAGTACTTACAGGTAAGCCGTCAGGGGGTCGAGGTCCCCGGGCACTGCGGAGAGCCCGAGCTCAGAGCAGTCCGCAGACAGCATGATGCCGTCCTCCTGGCAGTGGCAGGGGGCCGGGCAGGCGGCCGGCCCCGCGCGGGACTGGGGGGCGCCGCCGGCACCCGCGGAGGCGCACAGCGCGGCGCACAGCCACAGCGCCCGCAGCCCGGGCGCGCTGGGCATCTCGGCGTCCGGGCCGCGCCGTCGGTGGGGACCGCCCCTCGGGCTCTGCTCGGCGTCGGCGGCAGCGGCGGGAGCGCGGGGACGAGCAGTCAGAGAGGGGCAGGCATTGTCGAGTGATCTTCGTTATTCGGTTTCACGGGCTGGGCTTGGCAAGGGAGGGAGACCCAGGCGGAGGAGGAGTCAAGGAAACTTTCTACGCTGCAGCTCGCTCCCTTTCCCTCCTTCCTTCCCAGCTGGCAGGAATTTCGTCCAGGAAAGAAAAAAAAAGGGAGAAAGCAAAGAAAGCCAAGCGGAGCTCAGCGTGTCGCGGACCTGCACTTGTTCGGGAAGGCGCCCCAGGGCCTGGGCTAATGGGGCTCAGGACCCTCTTGACTTAGGGGACAGCCACAGGGCCACATGGGACCCAGGGGAGGCCCTCAGAGAGAGACCACAGAGCCCCCATAGGCCCCAGTCCCTCCACCACGTTGCGCGCTGGAGCGCACTGCGCCAAGAGAAGTGATTTGCTCAAGGTCGCACAGCTGATGGGGGCAGCCGCAGAACGGGAACTCGGACCAGCCCTCCTCGCCCGGCCTCCTGGGGCAGGAGAGGGGGAAGCGAAGGGCTGTCCCGAAGGGGTCAGGCTGCTGGGGGTGTCGCTGCCAGCTGGGTGAGGAGCGGCGCACAGTGGGGGCCTCCCCGCTGCGGGGCCGTGCCCGACTCCAGAGAAACGGGGGGGGTTCCACCCACTGTGTCCCGGATGGAGCGCGCTCTTGCAGCCTCAGTCGGGTCTCGGGCCTCGGGAGCGCCGGGATCCCCGCCGCGGGACCCGGGGCCCAGGACGCGCGGTCCGCCCAGCTGGCTGTCAGAGCCCGCCCGAAAATAGGCAGGCTGGCGCCACCTGGAGGCTGGCTGCTGCCGCTGCGGCTCAGCCACGCGAGGCGCAAATCCCACCGAGGCCCGTCCTGGCCAGCCCCAGCGGCTCGGGGAGCAGGGAACGGCGGTTAAAACCGGGGTGAAGCCCCTGTTCTCTCCCGAGACCATACTGGGCTGGCTGTGCTCCCTTCGTATAGCCTCTTGCTTTCTCTGGTCTCTCCCATAATGAAGCAAGCCCCGGCACAGAGCTGGAGCGGGTCGTGTGCCTCACTCCTCCTCCCATTTTTGCCCTGTCTCCCCATGGTCCGTGCAGAGTGTACACCAGAAACCTGGGGACCTCAGAGGGATCCAGGATTCCCTCCACCCTGTACCTCCACATCCCGGGACCCTCTCATTAATGCCTCTGCACTCTACTAAGCTCCCAGGGTCGGAGAGTCTGCATGGCTGGATCAAGAAGCAAGCAGACCCTGGCCCTAGACTTCCAGCCAGGGCCGGGGCCTGGAAAGTAGAAGATGACCCTCATAGGAAGGCCTGAGGCTGGCCCTGCACAGAAAGACCCACAGATAGAGTCACCTCTGCCCTGTGCAGAAAGCCAACTCAGGTAGGCCTGCATTGCCGGCCTCACTCACGCATAGCCTTGGTCCATCCCCGGCTCCTTTGCTGCTCCAGTGTGAGGAGCCCAGGTTGGAAAAACCACAGCTGAGCCCTGAACAGCCCCGTGAGATGGGCTTGGGCAGCTCAGAGCTGAGTCTCCATGTGAGGGTCATTATGAGGCCAACCCCCTGGACTCCTGACAAACACAGTGTATGAGGACTTCGACATTCGATCCTCCTGGGGAGAGCACCAGAGGCTGGCCCCATTCTGATTCTCCTGATTGAGCAGAAAGCAATACCTCTGTTCCCCTTCTTCAGCCAAGCCTGAGAAGGACACTCCCCTGACCACTGACCCCTTGCACATTACTGGGAACTCAGGTTGGCCCAGGAGCTCTGCCCTCTTCCCCATCTGGGGGCTCTAACACCATTTCGGGGATGCCTGCTCTGATTTGTCCAGGCTTCCTCTGTGTCCTCCCAGGGCCCTCTGTCAGGGGAAGTCAGTATCCAGCATCAGACACCCACCACCCAGAACCTTGCAGTCCCACCAGGGAGACAGGCAGGAGCTCACGCACGTGTGTGGTCCAATGCTAAAGTGTGCGGGACAGTCCCCACCCTCTTTTCTGCTCTCTGCCTTCTCCTCCTGGTTTTTCCCTTCTCCACATCCCCTCACCGCTGTCTCCCCACCTCCCTCCTGTGCGGAGTGTGGAAAGGAGGAGGAGGGAGAGCGGAGGAGCAGGGAAGACTTGGCCACTCTACCCGTCCTGAGGGGTGCCTCCAGCGTCTGCCTTCCAAATCACAGTGTGGCTCTAGCGCCTCCACCCTGGCGGGGACTGAGGGTGGCCCCAGGAGCTCTGGCAGGTAGGGAAGGATGGGGGTGGCAGGAGAGGGTAGTGGGGTTCAGGATAAATCCTGCTGCACATGGGTGGTGGGCATGGGGCCGGGCAGCAATGGGGGCGATGAGGAACCGGGACTCCGAATCGGCAGCACCACGGGAAACTAGAGGTGGAGAGACCGAAGTCTGAGAAACTGGGAAACTGGAGGATCAGCAGGGCGACGGCTGCTCCAGGGAAAGCCACTAGTGTACCAGCTGCAGGTCACCCAGTTCAGCCAGAGCCCAGGGCCCAGCTCACCAGGCCCAAGTGTTGGCCCCATGTCAGAGGATGGACAGGCAGAACACACCCAGTCTCAGGCTAGACCACGTGTCTTTATTCCCCGACTCTGCCCCTTCCCAGCACAGGGGCCAGTGGAGGCTGCTCTTCTGGGGAGGCCAGGCCCCGGGGCTGGGGCGGGCTGTCCCTGCTGATGGGACACAGGTCTCTTCTGCTCCAGCACAGCACAGTGAACAGCACCGGCTCAGGGCAGCCCGTCCACCAGGGCGCTGCTCAGACAGTCGTAGAGGTAGATATACTGCTCCTGGGGGTAGACACGGGGTGAGGAGCCTCACTCTGTTGCCCACCCGAGAAGGAGAAGGGCTCCCTGTGTCTCCCACCCCTGGGGCTCCACGTGGGAGACAGCACAGCAGTCCACAGCGCCACCTGGTGGCTGCTCTGTGGCACTGCCTAGAAGCCAGGGCAGAAACTTCCTGTCTCTCCACCCCTTGCCGCAGCCCAGCCGTTGGTCGCCTCTCACCAACGTTGGGGTCGTGAGGCCACAGGCCTGTGACTGCTGCAGGGCCACGTCAAAGACGTCCACAGTGCACTCAGCGCCTGCCTGCTGCAGCAGCTGCTCCATGGCCAGGAAGGTGCCCAGCTGGGCTGCGCCCTTGCTGCAATTGACCTAGAGTTGATGGGACACCTGGAGGGGGTGGGGCGGGGTATCCAGGGAGTGGGGAAACCCAACCTGGGCCCAGGGACTTGGAAGGGACACCGCGTACTTGGCCAGCCAGCCAGCCTGCGCCCAGGCAGGGAGGGAGTGAATTCCTACCATATCCCTGAGGACAGGGCAGGGTGCGGAGAAGACGGGGTATTGGGAGACCCATGACCTTTTGACCATAATCCAAGAAGTGCTCAGTGAGATGTGAGGCCCTGCCAGAGAGGCAGGGAGGGGCTCCCGGTGCCCGCTCCCCCCAGATCTTTGTCCAGCAGCACCTGGAGTGGCTGAGCAGTGTGCCCGGCTTCTTGTTCCTGCCCCGGGAGCAGCACTGGCCCACAGCAGCCAGGAAGGCCGGCAGGGTGGTGGTGGGTAGCTCATGCCCAGGCTCCCAGTATGGAAACTGCAGTCGCTGCACCTGCCTCTCCTTCCTGCTCTCCCCCTGGAGCAAGACATGGTCAGCATCGGTGCCAGGAAGGGCAGAGGGAAGCCCACACAACTCACCATCCCATGCCCTACAGCCCTAACACCTACATGTGTGACCCGGAAGAGTGTACAGGGCCAGCCTGCTGTATTGGTCTCAGCCATCCAGTGCACTGTCACTGTGTCTGTGACAACGGGCTGTATCTCTGTTGGCCACAGCTCCTGCAGCTGGGATGGAATCAGGGCTGTTCAGGCAGCTTCCTGAGGTTTCTGCCCCTGCCCGGGTCACAAACACCACCACCAACTCCCCCCAGCCCCTGTCCCAACTCCTGAGCCTCCCCTCCTCTGTCCCTCTGCTCCCTCACCTTCTCCAGGGCATCGGGTGGGCACAGGGAGACCAGCACATGAGCCCCATGCTGCCACACCAGCTCCCAGAGCTCCTCTGGCCCTGCGGGGCCAGTCAACACCACGTGATCACGGCCAGAAGGCCCGCCCTGCAGACCACAGCTCATTAGCTCCCAGGGACTCAGGGTGTCCCCTGCCAAACCCACAGCTCTAGGAGCCCCCAGCAGCCTCAGCCCCAGCCCAGAAAGCACAGATGGCCAGAGACGGCAAGGAATAAGGCGGGAAGACCAGCATCATCTCACAGGGAAGAGCCAGGCTTCTGGCATGTCGTCAGGGGGGCTGTCCTTCACTGGAGAGAACTGCACTTGAGAACTGTCGTCTGAGGGAAGATGGTGAGGGTGAGGCTGCCAGAGGTCCCTGGCCCACGCTTGCACCCCACACTCCCGCCCCTCCACGTGGTCGGCGGTGAGACTCACAGGAGCCCGTGCGGTCCTGCTCATGGCCAGGAGGGGGCGTCGAGGAGCCAGCCTCGTCCTTGATGGCCTGCAGCAGGAGCTGGGAAGGAGGTGGCATCCTGAGGCTGGACAGAGCCCACCGGAGTGGCGGCTGGGCAGGGGAAGGCCGCCCTTGGTTGCCACCCACCCCCTGGCCTGAAGCGTACCTCGTACTCCTTCAAGAAGCCAGCGTTGGCATTGGCTGCCCTCCTGGCGCGCGCCTCCGCAAAGTTCATCACAGGGATGGGCCGGGACCTGGGCGGGCGAAGGGGAGAAGGCACTGAGGCTGCCCCGCTCCCCTGCCAGCCTGCCTGCTCTGCCCACGGGCGGGGGTCAGGGAGCCGGTGGGTGGGGAGGCACAGGGAACCTGCGTCCCACCCCGACAAGGGCCCCAGGGGAGCTGCCCTTACTCAGAGACGTCAGAGGGCTCTCCCAGAATCTTGCTCAGGAGGCAGCTGTGCAGGAAGATGTACTGGCTCTGGCAGGGGAGGGGGCATCAGTCGCTAAGGAGCCTGGCCCGGCCAGCAAGGGCGGGGCGGGGCAGGATGGAGGAGGGAGCGCTGGGGAACCGTCCCTGCGCTGTGCCCTAGCTGGGGGTCCCTGCTCCGCTTTTACAGAAAGGAAGCAGCAGTCCAGCTAGGACGCCCACATGATCAAGGCCCTTCCCCCGGGGTCCTCTGTGAGCTCCCTTTCCTGGTGCCTCCAGAGCCTGTGGTCCCACAGCCATCCACCCCCTCTCCTCCTTCAGGGTCCCCGCTGCCCGGGCCCTCACCGGGGTCTGGATCATGAGAGGCCGGTGCAGCCGGAGCGCGTACGCGGCGTGGAACACATCTACCGTCTGCTCTTCCTCCAACTGCCGCAGCAGCCTCGAGAGGGCCACGAAAGTGCCCGTGCGGCCCACGCCCGCGCTGCAGGGGCAACCCGGGGGGAGCGGAGGGGGTGAAGGGGCTTCCCCCAACCCCGGCTCGCCCCGCGGTCCCAGACACCCGCCCCAGGCCAGGCAGGGAGCCCTCACCTGCAGTGCACCAGGACTGGTCCAGCGCCCAGGGTGGCCCTCGCCTGCTCCCGTACCAGTTGCGCAAAGGCGAGCAGGGAGCTGGGGGCCTCGGGGACGCTGTGGTCCGGCCAGGTGGTGAACTGCAGCTGCTTCACCCTCCGCTGCTGTTGCTGGGCAACCTGGGGGGGTGGGAAGGGGGCGGAGGGCCCTGCTGCTGCTCCTGCACTTTCCTCACCAGCTCCCTGGGGGCCGCTCGGACGCCACCCCCTCTGACTGGGTGTTCCTTGAGGGTGGCAGCTGTGTCTCCCCCCTCAGTCTGGATGCTTCCTGAGCCCTTGGGTCCTCCTCTAGCCTCCTGGGGTGCCCAGGCAGAGGGGTGATTCAGGCCACTGCTTTCCTGCCCTAGGAGGGCACAGCCGGGGAGGCACATGGGGCGCGGGGGCTTGGGGTGAGGCAGGGAGCCCCAGCTGCGCTCAGGGAGGGCAGGAGCCGTCACTCCTCGCCCCGCTCCTCCTTTGCCTCACTGTGCACCCTTGGATAAACCCTCAACCCCTCTGTGCCTCCCAACCCCTTCCCTAACCTCCCATATCCCCGGTGGTGGCTGAGTGCTTGCGATTCTCAGAAGGAAAGGGCCCCGGGACCCCAGGATGTGAGACAACCTTCTCAGGGACACTCGGCCGGAATGCGCCCTCCCACCACCGACTCCGCCCTGTGCCCTGGAGCACGCACATGCTGCAGCTGGAATTCCCACTTGGTCCACTCAGCCTCGGGCTCCTCGGCCAGGAGGTGGATAGTGATGTGGCCGTGGGTGACGGGGATGGAGCTCGCTGGCCAGTAATGCTCACACAGCACCTGGGCCAGAGGGTTGGAGAGGAAGGGGTGGTTGTGGGCCCCGCCCCATCGCTGCCTCCCTCGCTTTACCCAGTCCTTTACCCAGTCCCAATCCTCCCCATCCGTCTTTCTGGTCCTTGTCACCCTGCTGAAATTCTGCTCTCTGTACCGACCCAGCCCCAAGGTCCCTTCCTCCAGAAGTCTTTCCCTGCTGGCTGGGCTCCGGCGCCCTCCCTCCAGACCTCTCCCACGTCTCAGGACTTTGCGTCAGCTGCCAGGCTCCTCTGTGGAGCTGGATGGCCCCTACTCCACGGCCCGCAGCCCTGGCCTCACTGCTCCAGCGGGAGGACAGACTCAGCAGCCCCTCTCTGTCCCAGGGCCCTGCCCGGAGCAGGGCACAGAGGAGGCATCCACCAGGCTTGTCAAAAGAAAGGGTGCAGAATGCTCTACCTTTGGGGCCACCCCTGGGCTAGTGCTTACCCATCCCTCTCCCTACCTCTGGGTGCCTTCTGGGCCTAGAGCAAGAGGTCAGTGGAAACTAAGCCAATGTGGGAGCTTGTGTCCCTGCGCCCCCTGCCCCCCCATCCTGGGTGATCCTGCGGACCCCTACCAACCTCGCCCCCCCATCCCACCCCCATCTGCCCCACCATCTCTGACGGAAAACACCGGCAGGGCCATTCCTGCAAGGAGACTGTGCCGCCTGGTGGCCACTGCGGGAAGCCGTGAGGCGCACGCACCCTCCCGTTCTCCATGCCCACGGTCAGCATGACGATGACGTGGACCTGCTGCTCCCACACCAGCCGCCAGAAGTCCTCCAGCGTTTTCTTGAGAGGCCCCTGAGTGGCAATGAATTCCTGCGGGTGGGTGTAGCCCTGGGTGTCGGGGGGTGGAGTCAGGAACATGTTAACAGGCGATGCCTCGGTCCCGGGGCCCCACCAAGCGCACAGCAGTAGGTATCCCATGTATGACCTCCAGGAGTGAAGACACTGTGCACATGCCTACACGTGTGCAAGCACATGAACACATGTGTGCGCCCAGAACTCAAAGCAGGAGAGGTGACTGCAGAGGCACCCACCTCAAATGGCAAGAAGGACCTACATGAAACTAAGATACTGATGTGTCAAAAACAGTGTGCCCTCTTCACCAACAAAGTGACTTTCCCAACACCAATGTTTCTTCTGTGCTCAAAAATCTTTCGTGGCTCCCCAGTGCCACCAAATAGAGTCCAGAGCCCTCAGCCTAACAACCAAGGTCCTCCTTCCTCCAGCCCCAGGCCACCTTTCCCAACTCATCTCCTGCCAGCCGCCACCCCAGCCCTGCACACATACACAAACACACACACACGCCTGCGCATTGCTGCCCGGTGTTCTCCGCCGGCTCTTTCCAGCCAGAGTGTCCTTCTCTCTTTCGTCACTCATCCCTCAACGAATCAAATGTCCCTCCTCTAGGGAGCCTTTCTTGATCCCTCAGGGGGACCAGCTCTCTCCTTCCGCCACGTGCCCCGAGCACGGTGCTTGTTCCTCTAGTACAGCACCTGTCACCCTGCGTGGTGGATGCCACACAGCCCCGCGTGCTCCTTTGAAGGTGGGGAACACGGCTGAGTCAGCTCTGCCCCCGCAGGCCCAGCAGAGAGCTGGCACACAGCAGACCCTGAATAAACACCCGCTGGGTTGACCCACCGAAACACAGCTGGGGATCTTCCTGGACAACTGCTACACCTACGGCAGGACAGGTTGTCCTGCAAACCAGCCCATCTCCCTAGCAGATCCCAGATCCCACTGACAGCCCCACCAGTGGCCCTTACTGGGATGAAGTTCGCATTGATGTAGTCAGAGTGGGGCTCTCCCTCCCGCTGGGTCAGCCTGACCCTGGAGTGGTCATCTGCAGAGGGTAAAAGCTGTGCGTCAGTGCAGGGCACACGTAGCCTCCTCTCCGTGCCAAGCCCTGGCCCTCTGCCATGCCCCCTCCTGCTCCCAGTGCTCACAGGGCAGCACATGCGGGTAACGGTTCTTGGTAGTGTTGGCAGGGTGCTCGGCTTCCAGGCTAGGCTGCTCCTTGCCCACCTCCTTCAGCTCCTGCAGAGACCAGGGCAGCCACTGGTCGCTGAAGCAGACCCACCTCGCCCCACACCAGGAGAGGGGCAGGGTGGCGAATGCACAGCCAGGAGTGCCCCCCGGACCTTCAGGCAGGTCCAGCCCACCTAGATGCCCCAGGGCCCTGCCGCCTCTGAGCCTGAGGGTGGTGCATGCCTTACCTCGAACTCCAGAAAGAAAGCTTGGTGAGCATGGGCACTCTTGGCCTCATAGCTCTGCCGGAAGCTGTGGATAGGGATGGGCCTGTGGGTTCGCCTGGGGGGAGAGGGAAGAAGTAGGCCCCCACCCTTGAGAGTGCAGAGTCCTGCCCTGCCCTCCCTGGGTGATGGGACAGAGCAGGGGACCTCAGTCCCGGCTGTACCCCTGATCCCCTGGGGGCCCGCTGGAATGCAGACCCTGGGCTCCACCCCCAGGTGCGGAACAGCATGCATTTCCAGCAAGCTCCTCCTCCCGGGGGAGCTGAGAGGATGAAGGGGCAGGCGAGACAGAAGCTACATGTGAACGCACACAGCCGGTGCTCAGTTAATGTCGGTTCAACAGGAAGTCAACATGAGGGAAAGATTTGGCCTGACACAGTCTACGTGGTTAGTCGGGGGAAGGTAAGAGCTGGAGTAGGAGAGCGATGGTTAATTTTATGTGTCACCGTGGGTTAGGCCATGGTGCCCAGACATTTGTTCAAACAGTGTTCTGGATGTTTCTGTGAAGGTGTTTTTTGGATGAGACTAACATTTAAATTGCTTGACTTTGAGTGAAGCAGATCACCCTCCCTAACAGGGGTGGGCCTGGTCCAATCAGTTGAAGGCCTTACTAGAACAAGGACCGAGCTCCCTGAGCAAGGAGGATTTCTGCCAGCTGGCTGCCTCCAGAGCCTTCTTCCAAAGTTTGGCCTGCTGGCCTGCCCGCTTCAGATCTTGGGCTCTCCAAGCCTCCACACCGCATGGGCCAATTCCTTAAAAGCAACGTCTGTCTCTCCCTCTGTCTCCACACTCACACACGCAGCCCCTGTTGGTCCTGTTTCTCTGGAAAGCCCTGACTTGTGCAGTGAGGTTGCAGGGGGAGGAAGAGGCCGCACGGGCAGAGGAGTGGGAAGCGGGGGCTCCCAGAGCTGCTGAGAAGGCCTTCGAGAAGGTGTGGCGGAGGCTGAGGAAGGAGAGTGGGAGTCTGGCAGAGACTTGCCGCCCCGACTGGATACAGAGGAGCAGGCTGCCACCATGGCCCGCGCAAGGCCCCCGCTGCCGTTGCGAGGAGCAGGCAGGGGCACCCACCGCAGGTTGTAAGCCGTCTGTTCTTGGGAAAACTGATTCTTCTCCGCCCTGCAAAGGGTGAAGAGGCGCGTGGCAGGCAGCCCCAGGGGCAGGGGGCTGGCCCACCCTGGTCACATGGCTCTTCCCAGTCCCCAGTCTGCCGTCCCACTCACCTCTGCCCCTTCACCCGCCTCCAGCACAGCAGGCCCAGCACGGCACAGGTGACAAGGACACAGCCCACCGCGACACCCACCACCACTGGCAGGGGCATTGCTGCCGGGGAGATGTTGGCCCGGGGCTCTGTGGAGGGCAAGGGGAGGGTGGAACATAGCAGCCTTATCCCGCTGACCCTGCAGGGCCATGCCAAACTCTCTTGGACTTGGCACCCTTGGGGTGGAGGGCACAGTGACGACTCCCTTCCCCTCAGAAGTCCCAGATACCAAACTGAGGCCACAGGTGGCTGTCTGGGGGACATCTGGATGGGAACTGAGAAAGCCCAGCGAGCCCTGCCTCCTCCAGCTCCTGGGTGCCCCAAAGACCCTACTACCCCCCCGACACCATCAAAGAAAAAGAGAGTAGCAGCCTGGCTTCCTGGACCTTCTAGAACTGCACTGTCCTAGACAGTAGCCACTAGCCACATATGGCTAGTATGTATTTGAAATGTGGTTAGTCCAACTTAAGATTTGCTGTAAGTGTAAAATACACAGCAGATTTCAAAGACTTAGTAAGAAAGAAAAGAATGTAAAATATCTCATTAGAACTGTTCCTGGGTCACATGTTGAAATGATAATAATTCAGATATCTTGACTGAAACAAAATGTTACTAAAATAATAATTTTGCCTATTTCTTTTTACCTTTTTAATGTAGCAACTAGGAAATTTTAAATGACCTACGTGGTCTGCATCTGCGGCTTGCCTTACGTTTCTGCTGGGCAGAGCTGTCCTAGGACCTCGGTGGCCCAGGAGCAGCTGGGCGTGGAGGGGCAGCGCAGGAAGGCAGCGTGATCGTGGGCGGCAGCGAGCTGTCTCAACACCTCCGCCTCGCCCAGCCCCACTCTCAGTCCATCCAGGCCCCATCTGGTGCGAAGAGCACCTTCGTCCCTGGCTCTGGGTCTCCCAGCACTGCTGGGTGGGACATGTTCTCCCAGAAGTCTGAGCTCAGTCCCTCCTGCTGCTGGTTGGGGATGAGCCTCAGCACCCCTCCCCTCTCCAGGGTCCAGCGGGAGCTCCAGCCTTCTGCCCGCCCTACCTGAGAAGGCTGAGAACGAGATGACGGTCCCTGGGGGGCTGTACCTGGTGAAGGCCGCAACACTGAACCTGGGCAGAGAAACAGGACCTTCTGTTGGGGAGGGGCAGGCAAATAAGGCAAAGCCCCTCCCGGGAAACTGGGTCAGAAGCAGTAGACTCTCGGATAGCAAGAGCTTCCCTCACTGTTTAGAGAGTATATATCGTGCTACCTGCCACCCTAAAGCAACCACTCCCAGCCCTATTCTGAGAGCAAAAAGAAGCTCTAGAAATAGGTACCTGGATATCCTTGGAGTTGCCCTGGCAAACTGAAACAGAATCCATCCCACCCTCCTTTTTGAAAAAAAGAATCACATAACAGATGGGTATTCCCTTTTTTGCCTTGTCTGCCAGGAAACCCAGTCAAAATAATTCTGTTGGCCCTTATAAACTATCTCGTGCATTCTCTTCATAATTCATTCCAGATCTTTTGTTTGTTTGCAACCCATAAATGAAACTTACAACAGCTCCCCTCTCCTTCCAGGCTTGGGAGCCCTCACCTATACTGGGAGCCTGGCTTGAGCTGCCCATTGCATAACTCCCGGGTGTGGCCACAGTCCTCTGTACCCACGGGCACAGTCCAAGATCTCGGCACAGCCCAGGGCCCTGGGTAGAAGGGGTTGGGGAGCAGGATGGCCAGGTAGGAGTCGTGTCCCCTGTAGTAGTGGTCCTACCACGTGTGGTTGATGGCTTTCTGGGAAGGCCAAGCCACTGGGAGAGGAAAGCAGAAGGGGCAGAGCAGGTGAGCAATGGGGCCGAGGCCCCTCTTCGTGCCACAGAGGGGCTACCCCCTTTCTCTAGCATGCGCCCATTTGCAATTCAACATCAGCCACATCCTCAAGAACATTCTGGGCCCCCTTCCTAAGACTGGTGCTGGCCTCAGATATTTCTTTTTACTGGTCTCGGTCTCTGGACCCCTCCCCTACTCCATGCTAGGCAACAGCTGGGATCTCTCCACCCCCTCCTGGGTGCAGGACTCACATGACATGTTGGTGGTGGCAATGACCCCGTACCACTGGATCTGTCCATCGTCCTTGCCAAACATGCCCGGCACGATCCTCACTCCCACCTCCGTCCCAGGCTCCAGCTGGGGGGCCGGGGCTAACTCTGGCGGGTGCCAGGCTGCGCACGGAGAGGACGGTGAGGTCCTGACTAGGTGCCTGACGATCAGGCTTCAAGGGCAGGGGCCATGCCTTCCTACCCCCGGCGCCTCTCATGGTGCCTGGCTACAAATAGCTCGTGGATATAATGAAATAAGGACTTGGAAGATTCCTGCGCTAGGGTGCCAGGGCAGGAGGCCAAAAGTATGATACCAAACCAGCAAGATCAGGGCCAGAGGAAAGGGCTGGGGCTTGGGGAACAGGGACAGCCCCAGGTGGCCAGGACCAGATGAGTGGCAACCCCAGGTAGGCAGTGATGGGGGAAGACAGGGAGCAGGGGTGGCTCCAGGGGCAGTGGAAAGTGACCTACCCTCAGCGGAAGTGGTGCACACCAGGGTGACCGCCCGGCTCCACAGGCCGTTCCTGCCCAGCACGGTGAGGCTGAGGCGGTAGGGAGTGGCCGGCGCCAGGTCGGGCAACAGGAGCGCGGCGCTGGAGATGTTGGCCTGGAACACGAAGTGAGCCTTCCCTCCCGTTACCAGCCGCTCTGCCACCACCAGACAGGCACCCACGTCCCCGGTGGGCAGCGTCCAGTTCAGGGCCAGGCGGGCGGCCTCAGGCTGGCACTGCACATCCTCCACGGGGCCCGGCTCTATGGGAACCAGAGATCTGCATCAGGTGGGTGTCAGAGCACCCCGAGAGGACAGCATCTGGGTCAGGTGCTCTCAGAATCGGCAGACACACAGGGACTAGGCATTTATGCCCGCAGAAAGGGGCGTCGGCCACACAGAGAAACCACTTCTCCTTTAGACCTCATGGCCACCAGGAGCAGCACAGGGAGCGTGACCCAGGGCGGGGCGGGCACAGCACCCACCGGGCAAGAGCAGGCGGCTCGGAAAAGAGCAGGCAGCGCCGCCCACCAAGATTACACCCGTGTCTCAGTGCACCTTCATCCCCCCGGCAGACATCAACATACCAACAGGCAGCACCACGGCGCGAGTGGCTGCCCGCAGCGGCCCCGCCTGGCACAGCACTGACACGGAGAGGTTGCGTCCAGGCGTGAGGCCCCGCAGGACGAGGCGGGCTTGGCCTAGCACCAGGGGCTGCTGCCAGGAGAGATGCCCGGCCTCGGAGAGTTGGGCGTGGCACGTCCCCTGCCCCCGGGGGCCGCTGGCCCAGGCCAGGCTGACCACGGCCGTGCCCGCGTGCGTCGATACCAGCAGCTCGCTGGGCGTGAGGGGGGCTGCGGGGCAGGAGAGGGGGTCAGCCAGGCCGCTGCCTGGTCCTCAGAGCCCCGCGCCACGCCAGGCTCACGGACCCCGTGCGGGGCCCTTGGGTGCGGAAATGGAAAATGGGCTAAGGAGGGCTCGGTTGCCATTGAGGGAAGACCCCAGGCTCTCAGGGACAGCCCTGCCCACCTCTCGCCCTCACTGCGTCCCCTCGCCCCGCTCACAGGTCCAGCCAGAGGTGTTGGCCGCTGCCGCGCGAAGGGGCCCAGCCCGCGAGACAACCTCCACCTCGTACTCGGTGCCCGGCGTCAGGGCCGAAAAGCTCGTGCTGTCCACCTCGGCTCCGGCGGCGCTGGTGCCCGCCCGGGCACCCGCCTGGTACAGGTTCACCTGGTAGCCGTCCCGGCCCCCAGGGGCGTGGACCCAGGATGCCCGGAGCTGGGTGGGACCTTCGCTGGTCACGTTTACCAGGGGGAGCAGCGAGAGGGCCTGTGGAAAGAGCAAGATACGGGGGCGTAGGGAGGAAGGGAGAAGAGAATCTAAACGGTCTCCCGCGCCCTCCCTCCAGCCTCGGTGCTCTCAAGGAACAGCAGGGCCGGAGTCGCCGCGTCAGACTGTCCAGTGCGCCTGCGCCGCACCCGAAAGCCGGGCGCGTCTATCCAGGCAGCAGAGCGCAGCCGGAACTCAGTTGAGTGGATGAATTAATCACCTACTGTCTTCACACCTGCACCCCCCTCGCAGACAAAGCTAGACTGGGCGGCGAGAGCTTTAAGTCAAGCGCCTTTTCCCAGCCCCTGCACCCGAGGAACCTATAAAGACCCGTAAGAGGACAGACAGGTGGCGTCTGGGGGCCCAGGGAGTGCCCCCCACCTCAGAGCTTGAGCCCAGGACCAGGAGTCCCACGAACCCGGCCCAGCCACCCAGTCAACCCTCCTCTTTATAAACGGGGACCCCGCACCTCGGAGAGGGCCGAGGCCACTCTAGGGGTTGAGCCCCAGCTAGAACCTGTGTCTCCCGTGCTCAGGAGGAGTCTGGGCGGGATCCAGACAACAGTGGCAGTGGAGGGGGAGGCCCGGGGCGTGGGGGGGCTCCCACATCAGCGAGGGGTGTGCTGGGGCGGCGGGTAGCCGTCCCTCAGCCCCACCGCAGGCTCAGCAGGCGGGAACACTCATGCCAGCGCCAGGGGGGATTTCAGGAAGGAGAGAGCCGCGCCGTGTGTCCTGCACTTGGCTAATCCCATCACTCGTCCCAGGGCTGTGCTCCCCTGCTCCTCTCCAGGGCTGAGGCTTAGCATGCGGCAAGGAGCACAGACCCTGGTCACACTGCCTGAACTGAAGTCCCAACTCCCCACTGAGTGCTGAGGACTCTAGGGCTAGTTACTTTCCTTCTCTGTGCCTCCGTTTCCTCATCTGTGAAATGGAGATAACTGGAGCTGTTATTATGAGACTCGAGTGAGAGAACACAGGCAGGACACTTAGCCAGGTGCCCAGTGAACATTAACTGTTGTTGTTATTATCTGCTCATGGCCCAGGTGGGGCTAGAGGCCAGGTCCTGGCTGGGTCCCCACTACTGTCCACCTCCTGCTGTCGGCTGTGAGAGCCTGGGGACGGCAGGCCTGCGCGAGTGAGCAAAGCCCTCGTGCTGCCCACCCTCTAGAATGCCAGAGGGGCCAGGGCGCTGGGAGAGTCCTAGCAAGGGGAATGGGGCCCCCTGGTGCCTAGGGACGGGAACAACAGTAGGCAGGTGTGTGCCCCCCAGTCAGCGGCCGTTGCCTGCCCACAGACCACAAAGAGCGCAAGGGACACGAAGCCCCCTGGGAACCCAAAGAGGAAGGTAGGGGACGGCTGCTCAGAGGACACTCACCTGTCCAGCCCGTGGCGTTGGCGCTGCTGCTCTGATCCGGCCCCCGCAGGGTGGCCAGCTGCACCAGGAACTCGCTGCCCGGGGACAGCTGGGCCCAGGAGAAGTTCTGGGCCTCCGGAGCCAGAGTCTCCTCGCTTTCCAGAGTCAGGGGCCTCAGGCAGTAAAGCCGCAGCTGGAAGCCATCCCTGCCCCCTGGTGGGGGGCTCCAGGAAGCCCTCAGGGCAGGAGGCTGGGTGACAAAGCCCAGGCTCAAGTTGGCAGGAGGAGCAGGGGCTGAAGGACGAGGAAGAAGCAGATTTGGAGTCGCCCGAACTCCCTGCCTCTCCTTCCCCGTGATCTGCCCCTTCTCCTGGGTCTCCAAGCAAGCGCCGGCACTCCCAATCTAGAAACGTAGTTTCCTTGGGGCTCAGAGCCACTCTCCTTTCCTGCCCAGGAAAACCTCGTGAAGAGACGCCCACCCTGACACCTGCTCCCCCACCTCCACCCCGACTCTGACACACACCTGGTCCACTTCGACACCCCAGCACCCGGCTCAGTACCTGCCCTCTCACACCCTTAGCGCCCTGGTCTCCAGCCCTCCACTGACATTCAGTTCCTGCAAGGTCTGTCTGTCCGTCCATTTGTCCAACCCTGGCCTGTGGGCCTGGGTGCACACTGAGCCTCCTGCTAACACCTCTCCACCCATCCCACCCACACCCACAGGCTTCTCACTCCACTCACTCTTCTCTGGGAAACCTTTCTGACTCCCTACTCAGATTTTCCTTCTGTGAGTCCTAAAAGATTAGATTGAACCACATAAAATTCCTGAGATTCAGCCATCTTAACCTATAAGAATGCAGCTTCCTATGTTTAAGCTAATATGTACATTCCTATTAATGTATTAACATTTACTATAATATGATACATAAAATCATATGCTTTTGTGTGTGTGTATATTTTTATAAACCATCTGTTTATTTGTCACTCTTTCTTTCTAGATTGTCTTGTTCTTAATTTTTAGTCTCAGTGCCTAGCCTTATAGCTAGAAATGGGAGGCATTCATTAAATATTTGTTGGAGGAAAGGAAGGATCGATGGATGGATAGGTGGATGGGTGGGTGGATGG